CCCTTAACATTCACGGGAGGGGGAAGTTTTTCAATTACATCAACCTTTGCTTTATCTACCTCTATCCCTTTACTAGAGACAACATGGCCTAAGACAACTCCACTTCTCACCATGAAATGACTCTTTTCCCAACTCAAAGTCAAATTAGACTCTATGCAACGCTCAAGGACACGAGATAAATTACGGAGACAATGAGAAAATGAATCACCAAAAATAGAAAAGTCATCCATAAATACCTGCAAGCAGTCCTCAAGCATATCGGAGAAGATAGAGAACATGCACCTCTGAAACGCACCCGGTGCATTGCACAGGCCAAAGGGCATCCGTCTGAATGCGAAAGTACCAAAGGGGCACGTGAATGTCGTCTTCGGCTGATCCTCTGGTGTAATGGCCACTTGGTAGTAGCCAGAGAGACCATCCAAAAAGCAGTAGAACTGATGGCCCGAAAGACGATCAAGGATCTGGTCAATAAACGGCAATGGGAAGTGGTCCTTCTTGGTCACAGCATTCAGCCGTCTGTAATCGATACACATACGCCACCCGGTAGTAATGCGGGTGGGGACCAACTCCTTCTTGTCATTTTCGATCACGGTTATGCCTCCTTTCTTCGGCACCACATGAATAGGGCTAACCCACTCACTGCTCGCCACCGGATATATCAACCCCTCAGAAAACAACTTCAGCGCCTCTTTCTTCACTACCTCCATCATATTCGGGTTCAGCCGGCGCTGGCTATCCCGAAACGGTTTGGCTCCTTCCTCCAGGATAATTCGGTGCATGCATGTTGAGGGACTAATCCCCTTGATGTCTCCTAGACTCCACCCGATTGCCTTCTGGTTCTTTCTGAGCGTGGCTATCAGCTCCTCCTCTTCCTCATTGTCGAGCTCAACAAAGATGATCACCGGCTTCTGATGCGCGTCATCCAGAAAGACATACTTAAGGTGCTTGGGCAGCTCCTTAAGCTCGAGTGTGGTCTCCGCTCGGGTATGGCCCTCTCCTACTTCAAAAAGATCCACTAAAGGCTCGTCCTCCTCCTCGAAAACCGGCAACGACTTGTCCTCGAACTCCTGAAATACCATCTCATCAACAAAGGGATCAGCAAGATCAATAAAAGCACATTCTTCTATGAAGTTGACAGAAGATGAAGACATGGCTTCTCGGACAGAAGTAAACACTAATTCCCCTAAAACCGTCATGTTCAGGGTCCCGTTCTTCACATCAATGAGAGTATTGGTCGTCGCCATGAAAGGTCTCCCGAGAAGGATGGTGTGATCCTTCCCATTCTCGTGCACATCCCCAACGTCTAGAACGACGAAATCCACTGGAATGATAAGCTTACCAACCTTCACGAGAATATCCTCGACTATCCCCTTCGGGTACCTGATGGAACGGTCTGCTAACTGGAGGCACATGCTGTTGGTGTTATATACTTAAGCTTTGCTTTAGTGGATATTTCACTTGTTATTCC